AAGGGGGTGAAATAGGGGATGAAAGTATGTATAAATCTTCTTAGATTTTCGACTGATTGAGCTAAAATTAAAGATTGATGAAGATGAGGCCTTAACTTTTAACACACGCTAAACAAAAGTAAAGCCGCAAAAACTATACCTAATGAATAATAATATTTCTTAACACGAGCGAAGCCACGGGCAAAAGCTAGTTATACATATATACCTTCCATTTCATTCATTATATCTGTTAAAAAACTATCAAAATCTGTTGCGAAATCCTAAATATTTAGGCAGTAGTGATAGTAATAATATTGCGAGAAGGTTATACTCCATAACCTACTTACATACGGAATATTTTTTTATTCTGAAACCAAAAAAATATACAGAATGGATTTTATTTCTTAATCTATTTTTCTTTAATCTCACTTAAACTCAAAAACAGAATCACCTACTTTTAATTTTAAAATATTTGTGAAAGAAAGTTCAAGGAAATTATAAAGGTGTGAAAATATTAAGCATAGAAATTTTTAAAATCGTCAATTTGATTTTCTTGTACAAACTGCTCTATAAGTGCCATTAAACATGTGACATGCACATGCAGCACAAATCAATGTCATTAGGTATTAAACTTTGAAACATTAGTTAATTTTGGGGCGATACAGTTTGCCAGGTCAGTTAGTATATAAGTACCTATATATAATGATAAACAAACTACTTACTAAAACATTAAATATTGTTTGTAAAATAAAAACAAAAACAGAGTAATACATCTCTAACACCTGCCTAACCTCCTAAGAATAGAAGGAAAGATACGAGACGATGGACCAGTTCGGTTGTTTTGTACTCTTTATAGAATTTTAACATGTAACGCCATCTAGTACACAATCCCTTAAACACGTTAAGCTAGAGATGAATCCACTTGACAAAAGTTTCTTTTCTAGTCGTTAGAGGACACTCTTATTAAAAATATGCGTGTCTGATTGCATTGCATTTTCATGTAAAAACTAAATTTAACAAATAGTATTTGTAAAAATATTAAATATTACCTACAATAGTGAACAATTTTAAGACTATGATGTCTTTGGGCAAATTTATATAATTTGTAATAACTTTACTGTGTATAAATAAGTGGTAGTCGTAGGGATAAAGGCAAAACAACACGTTTGATAGTCACGTTCATCACGATTGTATACCAATGAGCTCTTTAATCATTAGTTAGTATTAGAACAATAGAATAAAGGTTTAATATCGTGCTTAAAATTATAACGAATTGACGGTTGGCACGGTGGCTGGGCAACTAGCTGCCGTGCAACCTGTCGCGGGTTCAAGTTCCACACAAAACAACTTTCCGTGTGCTCTACGAATTGATGTAACTTCGTATTTTTGTTATACCTACACGAGTTGTGTGTGTGTGTATATAAGTAGTTGATAAATTTTACATATGATATAATTAACAAGTACAAACAACCAAACAAGTACTGCTCATAACAGTCGGTAACGATGCAAACGAACTTCACAGTCAATTAGAGGGATCTCATCACCGTGTTTGCAGCAAGCTGTTCTCACGGGTGTACCGTTATAAATATTGAAATCAATACGGTTCTACTTATGTGTGAAGTGATTTGGTGATTCAAACTAGACTAGACTAGACTAGACTGCACGGTTGGCGCGGTGGCTAGGCAACTGGCTGGTGCGCAACGTGTCGCGGGTTCGATTCCCGCACGGAACAACTCTTTGTGTGATCCACAGACTGTTGTTCCGGGTCTGGGTGTGATGTGCATGTGAAATTGTATGTTTGTAAACGCACCCACGACACAGGAGAAAATCCTAGTGTGGGGCAACGTTTTTTTATAAAAAAAAAAACTATTTCAATCATAACAAGACGGCTACAGCTAATCAGGATTTATATCTCTTCTCATTATTTGGTCCACCAACAATTGTTAGAAGTAGACTAATAAAATTACAATTAATTACTGAATAACAATATGAAGGTTAAATTCCACCTCATAGCAGCTCTGATTATAGACTTCTAAAACAATTGAAAAACAGTACAATAATTTAAGTACCGCTGAATCACCTAACTATCCGCGATAAAAATATAATGTTTTACCTATTTATAGACAATTAATCAGTACACCGACAAAAATTATCTTCAAAGTTATTAATAACGAATATAACAGTATTAGGTACTCATAAACAACTTCGAACTGCGTGGTTGTTGCATTGGCTTGGATGCCATTTTCTTCTTTTTGAGGGAGGAATAGATATCATAGTATGTCATTTCTTGGTCTCTCGGTCCGGGCGGAATGGAATGTTAGACTCTTACTGACTTAAAACCAACCGGTTCCTTCTTCTCCTGAAGGCCGGGATCGCAGTCAATTATTGCGCTTGACCTGCAACCCCGAAGCTTGGGTGCCATTAAAATTGTATTAAGCGATCTCAGTTGCCAAACAAACTACTAAGATCTCTATAGTTAATAAAGAGTGCAAGTTCAACGAGGACAAGGTTGAATATTTACTAAAATAATCTCTCTCAAATTCAGTTGCTTACATACTTTCAGTGTAGTTTTTTTTTCATTAATTTTCCTTCACAAACATTTAATTCAAATGAATTTAATCATAACGTGAAATCTTATTTAATTTTTTTATAAGAATTTATTATTCTTTCACTGTAATTCCTTTACAGGTAGCTTAATATTATCTAGTACTTTAAGCAATTATTACTGGAAGTGACACAGACCGAGTTATCGTAATATCGTTATTAATGCAATCTATTTAATAATTTTATATTTTTGACTGAAAATAAATGATTCATTTACGACATTTACTTTGAAAATCAAGTGCAAATCAGTTTTAGGACCTTGGTTAATTCCTTGGGTCAGACACCCTATACAACACGAGGTCAAATCGAGACTTCTTGCTTTTTTTTATGTAATGAGTCGGCAAACGAGCAGACGGATTACCTGATGGTAAGCAATCAACGCCGCCCATGGACACCCGCAACGGAGGAGTTACGAGTGCGTTGCCGACCTTTTAAGGATTAGGAGATTTAAGGATTGAGGAGGGATTGGGGGCGGGGAAGGATTGGGCCTCCGGTAACCTCACTCACACGGCGAAACACAACGCTGTGGTTGTTTCACGCCGATCTTCTGTGAGGCCGTGGTATCACTCCGGTCGAGCCGACCCATTCGTGCCGAAGCATGGCTCTCCCACACTTAAGCTTTTCTTCTAATAACAAATAGGTGGGACGAAAAATCTAATTAAATTTATCAGTATCGAAGGCCCAATCGTTTCCCCCCAAATCCCAAAATCTCCAAAATCCTCATCCCCAAATGATCGGAAACGCACTCGTAACTCCTCTGTTGTTGCGGGCGTTCATGGGTGGCATCGATTGTGTACCATCAGGTAATCCGTCTGCTCGTTTGTCGTCAACAAACGAAAAAACAGTTCTGGAATGCAGCCGAAGAACAATGTAGGTAAGTAATTAAGTTTTCTGAAATAAGTACATAAATACAATCTGTAGCTATTTTTTTCTATACCAATTTGATATTATTTTAATAATATAACATAGTGGTTTAGTTTTCAAAAAGTACATATATAGGTAGTTAGTTTTTACTCCAATGATGGTTTTTTCATGAGAAATAAATTCAATTCAAGCCACTATCTGTGTCTATATGTCTGTGCAACGAGGGTTTGATTCTTGCATAGAATAACTCTTTATGAGAACAATAAATTGTTATTCAGGTTCTGGGCCTAATTTGTATCTTCAAAAATGTACCCAGGAGACATGGAAATCCTAGTATAGGTCATTAAAATAAATCTTATTCATAAAATTTATGTAGGTACCCTATTTTCCAAGATAACTGTAAAACCCACGAACCAATCATGGAGATTGGCAATCCACAAGCGCCAACCTACTTAGATCCTACAATAGTTTTATTGTGTAACCAAAAAGGTGTTAGTTATTTACACGTGCACCTTCAGTTGTTTCCAAGCGTTCAAGTAAACTATGAGTGTACATGGAACATTAGAATACTGTTAAGTAAATAAGACTCTAATATGGTGCCAATAGTGTTTAAATTACAGGTAATTTGTACCTCTTGAAGGATATTCTGTACCTATTGTAACAGTTGCATTCATAAAACGTGTAAACTTCTAAATGAACTATTGTTTTACATTCTTCTAATTCTTTCAAAATAATTTATATAATTTTACAATTGTTGTTTCTACTTCTTTTTACTTTTATTTAACGGTTGTCAATAAATTACTAAAGAAGTTAGTTATCGTGATAAATTCAATGCACGCAACTTTTATCTGTGGTAATTTTTCCATTTACTTAATATTCTAAGTTAAAATTTTATTTGTATTTCTTTTTATTTAATTTTTATACCTATCCGTTAAACTGTCTTTAATTAAAAAAAATGTGTTTAAAACTGATAATGACAAGTTTATAAATGCGTAGGTTACATGGTTATCATTTTATTGTAATTAAAAGAGTTTAAAATGCACTAATAGACATTGTCCTCTGGTATCTAATACATTTTTTATAAAACTAATTTACTTAGTAAATATTTAAAATTTATACAAAATTTCGGATTTTTCAATCCGATTAATTGATATAGATAATGTTGTCTTTTTATGTATATATATTTGTTCCTATGATATAAAAATCGTGATCATATTATAAACATTTAATCTTTTACAACAATACCTACTAACAAAAAGTAATAAGGAAGAAGATTTTTTAATAACTTCGTATTATTTATACCAATACTAATTGTGGCTCCCCTTATTGTTCTGTATCTCTAAGAACGTACTGGAATAAGATGAAAACAAATATCAAAGTTACGATTTCCATACAAATTCTAACGAACAACAGGAATCTATGAAATACTTCAGCACTTAATTCATCTAATGATTTAATCGAAAAATTTAATACGATAATCGCCTGCGCAATCTACTAAAATAATAATCTTTGTACGTTGAGTGGCGCTTATCAATTTATAATCATTATTAATCATACTCCTTAGTCAGTAATACATTGACAATCAGTTAGAGCAGAGTGTCATTCAGTTGTCTTGTGTTATTATTCTGTGACTTTTGTGTTAGTGTCAAAGTTTTGTTGACAAAATAATATGGTGAGCGTTTATTTTGGTGTATTTGTGCTTTGATTGGCGATGTGGCAATATTTTTGTTGTTGCCATTACGACAATAGCTTTACTGAGCTGGTTTTCCCCAGATTAAGTGTCAGCCGATGTATTTTTGTTTAATACGATTAGATTATAGTCACTCGCTTGTGCTTCCTGTCATTTGGAATATCATCACTAAATAGTATAAAACAAAGTCACTTTCTCTGCCCATATCTATATCCTATGAGTGCTAATATCTCTTAAACAGCGCAACGGATTTTGATACAGTTTTTTAATAGATAGAGTTATTGAAAAGGAATGTTTATGAATGAACAATAACATCCATTAAATAGTGTAGAAATTTTGTGTCAGAATTGCACCCATACGATGTCCAGGATGGTCGCTAGTACTTTTATACTTCTGTTGTTTATTTAATAATTATTTAGTAGATAGGTGTCTCTAATTCTAATCACATAATAATGAAACAGTTTGATATGCAGTAATCATGATGAACACATCTTTTGTTGCAATTAATGATAAGTTTATTACATCCTGATTGATTCTTAAAAGTTAAAACTTGGGTCAGTGGGTCGTCTTAGGGGCGGAGTTGAAATGTTTTTCAGTATTTTAATCCAGTGTTTTCTATTCCAGTATGTTAATCCAGTCCGTTATCTATCAGTTATTAATGTATCATTATAAATATTCATTCTATTTTATACAAAGAAAATCTAGTTTGTTTTACAGTTTATTTATTAAATTCCTCAGTCAAAAAGGTCATAAAATAGTCGTTCTCACACATTATAAATCTACAAATCGAGTTCTAGTGCGATAATACTGATAAATTAAAAAAAAAACCCTTACTATTTTTAAATGGTCTACATTCCATTCTTGCGGTGATAAGATACACATAATAAAATAATAATCAAATTTTTTAAATGGTGATTCACTTAAGCCTTCCTAACTTGATTTCTTTCTTATTTATTATAAAAAAGTATAGTTTAAGTTACAAGTGTATGTGATGCCTTCAGTTTACGGAAAGTTTATAAATAATCTATATTTACACTATTTTCTGGTCTTAAAAGTATCTATTTTATATTTACGATCATATTTCAAATCTATACTATAATATATATGTGTATATTATTTTATATATTAATATTATAAAGCTGAAGAGTTTGTTTGTTTGTTTGAAAGCGCTAATCTCCGGAATTACCTACTGTTCCAAATTGAATATTTTTTTTTTTTTGTTTGTTGATCCATTTTTCGAGGAAGGCTATAGGCTATAAAAACTCGGTACGATCTTTAGAGGCAGAACAGCGGGTGAAACCGCGTGAGAGTAGCCAGTGGTAAAATATGTTTTTGACAATAAAGTATGCTTGTAAGTTTAGTGAAATGTAACCTCAAAATAAATATTCCCACCAAAAGTGTGTGTCAAAACATTTTCGATCACTATATAGTCAAACCGTTGCAGCTGAATTATATGAAAAACCTACTCCTTCATTGTTTTATGCGATGCCCAGCTTCTGTTAGTATAATCATGATATACTTTAGCCTATAGCCTTCCTCCATATATAGATTATCAAACACAACAATAATTTTTCAATTCTAAACTAGTAGTTTCGGACAAACAAACAACCGAATTATTCAGCTACATAATAGAAGTCTAAGGGCCGGTTTTTCAATGGCTAGATAAAAGTTATCTGGGGATTAATTATGATGCTGTCGCGTCAGAATGTTTGTATAAGAAAGTGACAGCAACAATAATTGTATTTCTCAGGTAACATTTATCAGAATATTGAAAAATCAGCCCTTATTAGTTCTGATTTAAAATAAAAATTAACTTTAAACAGTTATTCATTGATTAATTGTGTATACATCTTGTGTATTATATAATACTAAATTGTAAAAAACTAAGTATCTACACGAGAATTAACTGTAACTTACGCGTCCTTATTTTTGATTGAAAGACCTATAATTCACTCAAAGTCTGAATCGTATTATTTACTATCAGGAATTATAGGTATAGATTATATACAATATTAGAATGCAATATAAAAAGGTATAAAAAAGAGTCATTCAAATATATTTTATTACTTAATATGCTTTATAAAAATTAATCGCATAAATGCCCGGATCAATTTTTCCAATTATTCTTATGTCTAGAGAAGTTTCCTATAGAAAAAAAAAATATGAAAATTAGAAGGCAATATTGTTGAATCATGCATGACCCTTTCATCGTTACCGTGGTAATCCTTAATAAATAATCGGTCATCAAAGGTTTTTGTCTTTTTAGTTTTGTTGTCTGTATACACCTATATAGTTATAAAAGATGTGATAAATAAATAGTGTTATAAAACGCAGTTAAATACTCAACTGTAGAACGTCGCCTGTGCATGCGATACTGATTACAGCTGAGTTCACAATAAAAGACAGGGTTTTTTTTTTTATGTGATAGGACGGCAAACGAGCAGACGGATTACCTGATGGTAAGCAATCGGCGTCGCCCATGGACACCCGCAACAAAGAAGGAGTTACCAGTGCGTTGCCGACCTTTTAAGGATTGGGATTTTGGGGATTTTGGGACTGGGAAGGGATTGGGGTAGGGGAAGGATTGGGCCTCCGGTAACCTCACTCACACGGCGAAACACAACGTTGTGGTTGTTTCACGCCGGTTTTCTGTGAGGCCGTGGTATCACTCCGGCCGAGCCGACCCATTCGTGCCGAAGCATGGCTCTCCCACACTTAAGAAGAAGGGTTATTAAGTTTTTTTTAGATATTTCATAAAAATATAAATTCTTCCAAATTTTCAATACCCATAATGATTCCCATAACTGTCGTACCTACTATGATACACTATATTTAACAATATCAATTATTATGTTTCGGCTTACTCACGTAATTGTTTGACGAGGCACTCGGCTATTTTCAAGCCATGCTAGAGGCCCATTCATGAGCAGCATTCCGCGACAGGCAGGCCGTTACTAAGCCGAAAACATAATAATTAATTTAGTGTGTCTCACGAAAGTTATAATAAAAATAATTATTATCAATTTAACAAATGCCATTTTCATAGAACAGTATAAAAACCATTTTGGTATTTTGAGCGTGTTTTATACACAACTACTACCTACCTCAATTTTCTTCAATAGTCCTAGTACCCAGTATTTTTTTATGAATACACTTTAAACAACACTAAGGCCGTGTCACATTAGAGAGAATTTTCATCAGTCCAAACACAACTCATGACAGTGCAAAAGATTTAATGCCAAATTCTTTTTACTAATAATCATTTTATCGGAGAAACAACTCAATATGATAGGATAAGGCCGGTAGTGTGTACTGTGATATGCTATCGGAAGATAGAAATCTGCTTCACATAGATGTTTAGTAATTAAACAATGTGCTTAACGGTTGTTGCGACAGTGCATGATCTATCCCTAAATCTCCAAATCCCTAATCCCTAAAAGGTCGACAACGCACTCGTAACTCCTACGTTGCGGGTGTCCATTGGCGGCGCTGATTACTTACCGTCAGGTAATCCGTATGCTCGTTTGCCGACCTATTAAATAAAAAAAAACTATAAATCCTTTTTTCGTAATACTATAGTTGTTTACGATCAGTATCTATCACCTCGTCCCTTTGACGATTGCATCGGATTTTGAAGTTGGTTGACTTAGGGCCGATCCCGGCTGCAATTGTAGGCAAGGGGATATGACGAACCGCTGCTCGACTCAGAGTAGGAGATCGAACGGTATTTAGTCAGTACGAGTCTGAAACTCTTTCGTTTCTCGCCTCATCCAGGGTGGATGAGGTTTGAAAAGATACAGAATGATTTTACCCCATTAAAAAAAGACTTTTCGATTTGGAATAATGTTATCTACCTACATATTACTCTATCCTACTCTGTTGACAGTGAGTATAACAACATACTTTAATGAAATGAATCTGAACTTTTTTAGGTGTGATCTCCAACTCGCCTGTGAGACGTAAATAACACGTACAGACTCTTTTATGAGGAGGGGCCCATAAGCCAGTAGTGGATTAACATGGGCTAGAAATGGCGTATTAATTTGTGTTATAATTACTGATAAAAATTATCACTAAGGAGGAAGGTGTACTCCTATAATCTCACTCTCGCAGAGACTAAATAACAGAATCATTCAGAATCATCATTTTTGGAAAAAATATGATTAGAAATGAGCACACCAAATCACGGTTTCTACTTTTTTGCAACCAGATGGCGCTAATCGAGCAAAAAAAGCAAGATTTTCCGATCACTGCAACATTAAATTCCAATCAAAAATCAAATTTCGAATAGTATGACTCTGGCTATATTCCTATTGGATGAAAAGACGAAGGGTTCAAATTGGCGCCAACTAGTGAACAAAAATCGTAGACGATTAGGGGTGCCAAGCCAGGAAAACTAAAAAAATTATGCATCGATACAGATAATATAAAAATATTAGTTTAATTAACATATTTATAAACATGTATTGCGAATAGTAAAATGATTACAGTAATCATACGAGACATCTAATGCTTTACATTCTTTATTACATTAATCATGATAAGACAATATTAAATATTTTTAGCTGGTTCTCCAATTTTTAATTGAGGCCAATTTACGTGAAACTAAAATTTTACAATAAGAATGCTTACTAATTCAAGTTATTATTCATCCGTAAAGAAAAAAAATTGATACGTATTTCTTAATTATGTCATATTGGATAAAACTATTTTTATTTTACGAGTGAGGTCATTTATATTTTATAATTAGCTTTGATTTTATTTATGGAACATGGATGTTAAAAAAATATCGTATAATAAAAAAAACAATACATTTATCAAAAAATAATGTACCTAACTGTGGCAAGTGAAGTTCGCACCCAGATTAGCATGGTTAGAAAATCCTAATGTACAACTTTTGGTCGGTAGCACGACAGGCATGAAACCGTCGCCAAGTTGAATGGTCCTTGTTTTTCGATATTGAGAAACTTTACTCTCTATTGGCTAAATTACTAAACGTGAAATATATGTATAATTACGTATGTGTGTTTATTATCTTTCGATACTATGCAAATGTATTTAAAATTTATCTCGTATTTATACTATTATACTATAACGTAATAATATAATATTAAATTACGCGCCATTTTACATATTAAAGTGCGGACCTGAAACACAAGTAAAAAAAACAAATTACAAATTTCTTTCATTTTAACAATGTTTTTTGGTATTTTTTTGCCCCTAGGAGAATTGTACGTGTCCTCGTATATTTGGCAATTGTACCGCTCCGAAGTTTTTAAGTTTTATAGCACTTGAAAAGACAATTTCTCAGTGTAATCTAAAGTGATGGAAGAGACGAATCAACTTTTGACTCGACGTGTTCTAAAGATATAAAGTTTGTGCTAAAGAAAAACCCTGATAAGGCCATCCAGGTTTTAGCTGAACTAAGCTACAACAGCAAAAAGTAAAATGAATGTTTGTACCCTTATATACTTCCAATCTAAGCCCAAATAAAAAAATGACTTTTTAACGGGGGAAAATGAAGGAACGAGGCAAGAGGAAGTGAGACTCTTACTGACTAAAAGCTACACCGTTACTTTTCCTGCGGCCTAGGCCACGGTACCTCATTACCTAAGCTTTCCCCGCAACTAATTCTCTGCCAATGCAACACGATCAAAGATGACCCATAATGGCGAAAAATTACACTATTATGAGACCACTGTAGAGAATCGAGGACGAAGTAGTACTTAATAACCGATCTCAAATTAAAATATGTATTTATATTAAGATTGATTAGCTGTATGAAGTTTCAATACTTAGATCATCCAGAGAATTTGGATGGGTTATTAATCCCGGCCATTTAAGCACATAGTCACATCAGAAAATAAGATTAGCTTGTAAGCACGTAGTTAGAAAAAATATATACTAAAGACCTCATCATCAAATTCGCAAGATACACTTATTTAATTTTTACTACTAGATGTCGTATGACCGTTTTCGCCAATAATAATATGATCTTACAACATACTTCTTTCATAAATATTCCTCTTTCACTAGGATGACCAATCACTGTCCCGGACCATGGGGTCTGTGGTGCTCCAAGTCGGCGCTCTGGAGCTTCTTGCAAGGTATTCCATGAACTCCGGGAGAGCTACCAGCCTTCTGTCATCTCTGCATGAGTTCAGAACACAAGAGATGGAACAAGTTGGTGGAAAACAATGGAACTGGAAGTATTTGAGGGTAAGTCATTTGAACCATCCATAGCCCCTGTGACTCCTCTGGTGTTGCAGATGTCCATGGGCGGCGCCGATCGCTTACATTCAGGTGATCCGTCTGCTCGTTTACCTCCTATTCCATAAAAAAAAATAGCATTATTTGTAAATCTCGTACACTCCTCTCTACTCCTGACGTTCGTGGGCCTCCAACAAAATCAAAATGAAAATCATTTATTTCAATTAGACAACAGTAAGCACTTTTGAACGTCGAGCAAAAAAAAAGGAAAAATGTATTTCAATAAGTAGCTTTAACTTTAAGAGTGTCAGTCTGTCCGTGTCCCCTAGTGAAGCTATTTGCTCGTTCCAAAGTGTAGATTCCTATGGAGAAGAACGAGCAAGAAACTCCATGGTTACTCAACGTTAAAGTAATCTTACTAGCAGTCGACTTTTAAATAAGCTAGATGGCCAGAGCAAGTTTGCTTTAGATTAAATAATTTAGCGCGATGATTGGTTCGTTCGAAACGTGTCGATCGTGCTAACGTAGCTTAAACAAACTCACACTTGGGACTCTGTATATAAGAAATATTAAAATGAATTTTTCCGTTTTTTGTATGTGTACATATGCATGTTACCCTTGCTGCATGTGCATATGCATGATTGCTTAAGAATGGGATTGCATCCTGCAACAAGCCTGGATTTTTGTCGCGGCATTAAAACTAAATATTTTTCCTAACATTTAATATTGAAATGAAGTTGATTTTTTTTTACTCAAATTATTTAGCATCGTATCTCTACGTTAATTATTATAAACTTGAAATGGAATAAACACCAACAGTACACCTACGTGATAATTGAACATAAAAGGGTTTTTGAAGATATACATAGGTAGGTACTTATTTTAATTCCATTCGTAAATGATATTTAAAATATCTCCTTTTTTCCAGGATCAATTTGACCAAAAAGATTTAGAAGGACTCTATAGAAAATATGATGACAAACTAAGAGAAACACTAATATTTATTTATTTAACTTTATTAGTATTATTTTCAACCACACACGTGATTTTAGTGGTGACAAGTACATTTTCTGAGGTAAGTTTTAAATTTATCATCCCTTATACACCATAGTTCACTGATTAAATCTAATTTAATAAAACAATAATGTATCTCATAAATGAGAAAAAAACGTCCAAAAATGAAGGTTACTTATGAAAAAACGGCGAAATTTTTGATAATTTTAGCTATCAGTATAATATCAAAATTAGATAATATCAAAGATTTTCCTTTGATCATTATCAGGGAGATAAAATCGTTCGATGTTTCGACTTGATTAAAACCGTTTGGAACCATTGAAATTGCTGACTTCCTGGAAAATTTACGCAAACCTACATATTATTATACATATGCGCAAAAGAGCAAGAGATACAATATTACATTAATATCAGCTTTAGAACTATTGTCATAAAATCGTATATTCTAAAGCACTTCTGTACCTGTGGTAATAGTGATTTATTACACACTTCAACTCATTCATCGTCGCCATAATGTGAAGGCCATTAGACTCATTTTACATTGCACAATTATTTATTCTCCGAGCACCCTTCCAGGTTTCGACGGACGCCGAAAATTTAGCGAAATTATCATCACACGCGGTTTTCTTACAGCAAATACAGTCAACATCAACATATATGACTATGGGCATGTACTTACTAAGGATAGGCATACCGATATTAACGTTGTGGAAAACGTGTTACTATCCAATGAAAAAAAAATGCTTTTGGATGCCAATTCTTGTGACATTTGTTGTCACTTTGGACCTTGTTATCACAGGTAAGCTCATTCCTGTGTTGTCAACTTTCTGCATTCCATGCTACTTATTAATTTTCTATTTTTATGTCGGATGGGGAAGCAAAAGAAGAGACGGATCACCTGATGGTAAGCGATTTGCGTAACACACGCACACATACATCGCCAAAAAGTGCAGTACTGACTTTTTGGGGGTTAGAGATTGGGGGTAGGAAAGAGACCTCCGGTAATCTCATTTACGTGGATTTAAAGCTTCTTAAACGTAAAATCTAACTATATATAAAATTCACTACTTTAGCTTAACTTAACTAATAACCTTCAGATTCTTACCATATTTTAAACACAAATTCAATAGCTCTGAGAATTGGATACTGGCTTTTTTCCATGCCCCTAAGAGTGGTTTGTTTATCCTTATCATTGTTTTGAAAGAAAGAAGAAGCTATTTTTATTCGGAATGAGACATGAAGGCCAAGAACAAAAAAAATACAGTAAAAAGTTTGAATAACAGGACAACAAAATAAAATAAAATTAAAATTAATCAAAACAATAACCTTAAAACAGACTAGCAAAGTTAGAATAATAGTAGATACCCTGGGTTTGCGGACATGCCCAATCCGAATGGGTCGCCAACTCGGCAAAAGCTGGGCACAGACACATTTCTTCGAAATAATTAATGTTGCAAAACCACGTTTGCCGGTTCAGCTAGTTATTATATTAAAATATCAAGAGAGCATTAGAAAAACCGTTAAATAAAATCAAGTCCCATGAATTAACTCCAGCTTACCTCGAATTAAACAAAGTTTTTGCTTTTTTTCATTGTCAGACATCGCAGTGAGTATCTACAGTTCCTTCGAGGGTATTTCGCTAAGGCCGGCCTACGCAACCATGGCTTTACTCTCAAACTACATCTTCCTACCAATGAGGAACAACTTCCTGGCAATCATACTTGGCTTCCTCGTCAGCATCATCTACGTACTGATATTTGCCTTCTTCACTTACGACCAGGATCCTCAAATTGCTATAGTGGTAAGTACAGTTTACATGTTTTTTTTTATACAGCGTGCCATTTTAAACAAAGGATATATTCAGGGCCCGATTCTGGTGCTTAAATAAAATAAGTATTTTTGCCATAAGCCCCACCCATATCAAAAAAAAAAATCTCTGCCGTACACTCAATACGGAAATCACAAAAAATCTAGAAGAAAAATAAAATCTAAATCTAGAATCTAGGCCTACATTTCCTATTTGACTACCTACTATGAGAAGAAATGTTAAAACAAAGTCAGTGGTTTGATTTAAGTCCAAATAAACATAATGGTACTCACCGCGGCTCCAGCCCAAAGCAGGAAAAGGGACAGGGTAGTTTTTGGTCAATAAGATTCCGATTGCCCCACTCGGGAGATTTTTAGACTGGAGTTTTGAGAGAGGTAAAGTCATTTAATAATGTCCTAAAGGTATTATTATTTGAAGTGTGTGGTAAAACTAGAAACGAGATACCACCATTAAGTACTTATAGAATTGATTGTTTTTGTCCTGAATGAACACTTGCAAATTTGAATAAGATTTAGCAGATTACGTTATCTGTGAGTTGAACAGGTTTTTTGAATGTTTATCTTTGGAATCGTGGTTTTTTTTGTATAGTCGACTAAGATACTCATTCATCAACCAAATGACAAAAAGTCCATCAAAATTTAGTCCGCATTAAGTAAACATATTACCTGCTTTCTTCTCCATGTTGACATACACTTCTAACGTCCTTTTGTCGTCCATTGGCAAATGTACATGATCTTGTATAACCGAAATGCATAAAAGATCTCAGTGGCTGGTGTAACGCTAATGTTGTCGAAACATTTCCGCGACTTATTCCCTGATTCGCTGGTAAATTTGTAGCAGGCCAATTAAAGCGCCGAACGTCACAATCATGTCGATCGTCTTAACGTAGACTTGCAGTAGGCACTCTGTTGTTAGAACTCAGTTTCAGCCTCATTCCTATTTAAAACGTAAAATAGTTTTGATTAAGGTCGGTTTTTACCGATGGCCGATAAACAAATCATTCGGAATCGCGGTTTCTCACTTTAAATTAGTTCAATAATTCATTTTTCTTCTAGGTAGCGTCAGACGTCATCTACCTGGTCGGAGTCAATCTGATGGGTGTATATTTTCGTCTAATGAATGAAATAGTCACAAGGCGATCCTTTCTGGACAGGAGAGCCTGTGTTGAGAGTACTCTTAGACTGAAATTTGTCAAAGATCAGGAGGTAAGTACAGTCAATCTATGTTATTCCTTAATACTTAGGTAGCAAGTAGGCACACACTAGCTGAAGTACCTACATGCTTTTTAAGGTTGTGGCAGAAAATATTTCTCTTAAATTTTCTTTTCTTGTTAGTCGTTTATTTCCGTCCTTCAACGATTTCTCTTTAGGTATCCATTATAAGTATGATGAGGTGAAATAAAAAAAACTCAGGTCCAACTTTGTATCTTAAATTAAAGTGCAAGTTGCAGTGGTTGTTTAAAGAGTTACCCTTTCATTACGTTCTTCTGCATGTGTATTATTCTAAATTGCACCAAGCATTCCTAGCTAAGTACTTTGGTATTTTCTCTTTTAAAAATTACATCAAAACACGAGCCAATTAATCTTATCACAGATAAGCGCCATCTGCTTACTACATTCCCTGTGATTATCCAATAACAATCGTTTGTATTGAATATCATAATCTCATCGTCCTATTAACGAGTTTGTTATTCTCCAAAATTACCTGGTAAAGATTTATCTTTCCACCACCCTTATCATTTATTTTATTTTCCTTCGTCCTACCCATTTCTGATCGTCGAGTTTGACACTATTATATATTTATCTCAAACTTTCAAGACACGAACGCACCTACTCCTTCGTAAAAGGCGCCTGTGATTTCCTCCTTGGCGCGAATGGTTCGGACCACCCGAAGTGATACCAGGGTCTTACAGAAAACCGGCGTGGAACAAAAACAGCGTTGTGTTTCGTCGTGTGACTGAGGAGGCCTCCGGTAAAGGACCAATCCGTCGCCCTATCCCTCCCTCATCCGTAAATCTCTGAAACCCTAATCCTTAACTCCTCTGGTATTGCGGTCAATAAGGTCTTAACTCATCAGGTGATCAACCTGCTCGTTAGACTCCTATTATAAAAATGATTAGCCCAGTGTTATTGACTTTCATAAAATACTCTTTACAGGAACGTCTAATGATGAGTATCTTACCAGAGCACATTGTCTCCAAAGTACGCCAAGACATCAGAAACATGTTCATGGGCCTCAAAACACGTTCACTTAGTCAGAATATGAAATCTTTCAAGTGAGTTCTTTATATATAGTATATAAAGTCCTTTTCAGTACACAAATTGGAAAAGATACTTACTACTCGTACAGTTTTGTTTTAAAAATTATACCATAATTTTGCGACATACTTTTTTTTACTTTTGCATTATGGTCAGTTTCCACAAACCAAATCTCTTGCTTGCCTTCCATAGTACAACAATTTACGTCAATTCAACACTTAATCACAATTATCGCTCACTTACAGCCAGCTTTACGTGGAAGAACACGATAATGTGAGTATTTTATACGCGGACGTTGTCAACTACACGATGATATCCACCACATTGGCTCCAATGAGGATGGTGGAACTCTTGAACGAGCTGTTCGGAAGATTCGATGAAGCTTCTGAGGTATGATCTTAAGAAAATAGAAGTGTTAAAAAAAAATATTTCGGATATAGTAAATAATATTGCAAGTAATAAAAAACACTCACAATACGAAAGAAAACACAACAACTTCAGTCAAAGATCGTCAAAGCCGCAATAACAAATGAAGTAGCAAGATATTTTAAATTCGCCCATATTGCCAAAGAAGACTTAAATCTTATATTTTTCCATTTCAGGAATATGATGTTCTAAGAATAAAGTTCTTAGGTGACTGTTACTACTGTGTCAGCGGAATCCCGAAGCCTACGGACCAGCACGCCAAGAATTGCGTTGACCTTGGCTTGGAGATGATCCACATTATCAAAGACGTGAGGTACGTCTCAACACAAATAGTTTGTTTCATTCAGCAAAATGTTACACATAATATGTTCAGACATACGAGTATTAGCAGTTTTATCAATTCTTAGCAATAAAGTGTCATACTGGTCGAAAACGTTAGAAAATATGTAATATAATAAGAACCTTTTCAAATCTGACTTAGGTTTATACGAGTACCATAACGCAAGCTTAAAATACACAGCTACTTTTAAACTTGTAACATTACGTTAATTTGTTGATTAGATAAATAATCATCAATCATTTTGAATGCATTTTGTAAACATTATTCTTTATATTTTAAGCCTTCAATTCTTCATTGTCAATTGCAATATCATTTGTTAGTGCAGGCTACACCTATCATGATTTAATTTTGTTCTTTATGGATTTGTGGGAGTGGTACTTGATAATGATCAAAACAATCGCGATACTTATATTTCGAAGAATCTTTGTTACTACCGTATATTTTGATATATTTATTTAATGATAAAGATATTCCTATCGCCGAAAAGAAATTCAATAGTCACAATGTGACAAAAAGTGTATTTAAAAATAATACTCTGGAATAAACACTTCAAAGAATTATATATTGTGTGTCAATATTGAATAAAATTGAATCGCAGGCGTTTTGTTAAAGGCATATTCATGACATTTCTAATGAATGATACAAGGGATCAAATAATACCACTTTTATATTATAAACTCTACTTCCTCATAATAACTACTCAAAAGTCCAGAATGATATTTCATTCAGAGATAAACTATAATCTGGAACAAAACGTAGATTACGTTTAGCTTGGCTCTGTGGCCAAAATTATTTGTAGAAATGTTATATGTAGTTGATACATATTTATTTAAAACTTTTATTTACAGAGAAAAGCGTTCATTAAACATTGATATGAGGATAGGAGTCCATTCTGGGAAGATCCTTAGTGGATTGATTGGCATAAGAAAATGGCAGTTTGACGTTTGGTCGAAGGATGTTACAATAGCTAACAAAATGGAATCCACTGGCAAGGCAGGGTATGTTCAACAAATGTTTATAATGAAAGAAAATAATTCCAGTATTGTTTCTAAGTTTACAGCTATAGGAGAAGATTAAAAGTTTCAAAAGAAACTTTATTAAAACAATAATGAGATTAGTGACTTTGCAGATGACACTAAACCTTCATAACTTTATTTCAGAAAAGTGCACGTGACGAAACAAACTCTCGAATTACTGCTGGATTACGCTAGAGAATATATCATTGAACCAAATTTTGAATCTCAGAATGACCCTTTCATTGTTAAAAATAAACTGGAAACCTATCTGCTATCGAGACCAGCAAGGGTAAATAATGGCAAAATTATTCACAAACCAGAAATAGCCGGAGTTCAATACAAAATTTGAATTTGTTTCAGGCTCTTGAATATAGACCGTTTCGTCGAGCATCTGTAGGCTTTAACAAGATAATACCAAAAACAAACACGTCCACTAGAGTAAGTCCGATTCGAAGATTTATTTTTAAAAGAAGTTACCACACAATTCAAATTCTATATTATTTATGTATTTCTAGTAGCGAGCGGAAAAGAGGAACACAAATAGTGTTCGTAGGACCACAACTTTTATGGATGAGAATTTAGTTGAGTATCAACAAATGTTGAAAGCTGCTGATGCTCAAATGGCAAAAGAGATTGAAGATATGACACATGGCAGGTAATCGTTGACGTTGGTTAAAGGCTGCACCTACAGAACTTTTTTTCAATACATTAATCAAATATTGTTCAAACAACTAATATTGTTTCCTTTTTCAGAGAACATTTTCGGAACGAATCTAAACTAAACAGGTTTACGTTGATGTTCAAGAACTGCCAAATGGAGAAGCAATTCTTGTTGCTACCAGACCCATTGTTCAAATATTACATGACTTGCTGCTTGATCATCTTCTTACTGATGTTCTTGATAAATGGTCTAACTACAAGATGGTAGGTACATTTTACTGTAACCAACCAAAAAAATAAGAATTATTTTTATAGTAAATTATGACCAAAAATCGCCACTTACTAATACAAAGTAAATTTTTTCATATACTGCTGCCTTTTTTTAGGTTTGAAGGTTTCAAATGGTATGCCTGGGTCTTGCTTGGCGGTCTTCTTCTTACCCTTGTATTACTACAGCCCCTAACTTGGTTTCAATTTTTCTGGAGTAAATACAATAGTTACGAAGAACCCCGAAACAAATTCCTGCGCTGGGTCTACGATATTTCTACTAAGATCATAAAATCAGCTCATATAAGGACTGCGATTTACTTAATGATAAGTATTGGACTTGCTGCTACTTCTGTGGTGAATGTGATTGCGTGCAGAGAAGTTCAAGTGCCTGCAGCTGAGAGTGTCCTCTCAAATTGTATATCTTCGTGGGTAATCTAATTTCTTTAACTCCTTGTTTCCATGCATTTACAACCACACGCCAGATCCTTACGCTATTTTATTTTTGCAGCATGTGACTCAGTGTTGGGGCTTGGCCTTGCTCTTGAACTTTCTGTTCAGCAGGGTTTTCTTTATTTTCAAATGGATCATCGCTGCCGTCATGACCTTCTTCTATTTGTGGATTGTATGGGAGATTAAAACCTCTCTTTTTATCAATGACGTCACCTGGAATGTAGGATTGGATCCCAGAATATCTCACACTTTAGCTGTTGTTATCATAACGGTTACACTGTACTGGATTGATAGAACTACTGAATTCCGGAACAGATTGGATCACCTGTGGCAGCTACAATTGAGTGAAGAACAAAATGAAGCAGAGACTATGTTGAAAGTAAATAACATGCTTCTAGAAAACATTTTACCAGCTCATGTGGGTACGTACTACTCTGCGAGATCCAAAGTCATGTTGTATTCTAGCATGTACTGAAATATCCGTGTTCTTATATATTTCCAGTTCAAGTTTACCTGAACTTAAACAGATCATTGGATGAATTGTATTACGAAAAGTATGACAACGTGGCAGTAATGTTTGCGTCGTTAACTGATTACAAACTTGGCATAGAAGGCGATGCAGATATGAGTGATAAATTTCTATTGAGTATCCTGGATGAGATCATTTCTGATTTTGATAGAGTGCGTAAGAAAATTACAATATCTTTTATTAAAATTAATTAGTTTTTCATAAACAAGTACCTAATTTAACAACTTTTTTTCGTACAGTTGCTGCTTACAGGAGCTTCCGAGTATAAAGTGGAAAAGATTAAAATGGCTGGATGGACTTACATGGCCGCTTGTGGTTTAGACCCAAATAGAAGAGAATCTAAAGACTCATTTCCTTATGGACCAGGTTCTTTAGAAACACCTCCGACTAGAGTACGGCAAAATAGTCCCTACGGTCGTGCAGTAGTGTTAACCATGGTAGAATTTGCTGCAGCAATGATGATGCAATTACAAAACTTCAACAGAGGATCATTTCAAAGCTTTGAAGGATTGAACTTACGCATTGGTAAATAAAATCATAGCATTATATTTCTGAGTGTTTACATTAGCTTCATTATATAATGAAGTATAGAATTATATGCGAACGTTTTCTTAATCAAAGATAATGGTATGAATAACGCCACCTGCACCTGTGCGGAATTTTTCCGCGCGATTGATAAAGTAATTAAAAATATTCGACCAGGTATGTCAAACGGTGAAGTAGCTGCTGGTGTAGTGGGTTCACAAAAGCCACTATACGACATTTGGGGGCATGCAGTAAACATGGCGTCAAGAATGGATTCCACTGGTGAATCTGGTAAAATACAGGTATGAACCTTAAAAGGCTGATACATAAAGTCAACTGATTTATTAAAATGAAATTAAAATGATTGTGTGTTTCCATTTAGGTGACAGAAAACACGGCTATTATTTTGGACGAATGCGACATCCTCACCACTTGTCGCGGAGAAACCTTCGTAAAAGGCGCTGGCTACGTAAAAACTTATTTCGTTCCTCTAGACGAAAACTTCAACCTGATCAAGAAGAAGAATAGTATGGACTTTTATAGAATTGAAGATAGGAGTCGATACTTCGCTGTGAAGGCTCATAGATTTAGTAATACATCGGACGATATGAAAAGATACTCTACTTTTGACATACGAAGGTTGTCTTTGGCTAGTGACTGCACTGAAAGCAGTGTAGACACTGAGCTAGTTAGAGCACCCACCCCAACAGAGGAGACAGATATTAATAGTGTGTCGTCAGAAGTTAAAGAAACACGTTGCTGACGAATAATTTAATTTAGACATTAAGTTAGATAGTTTTGTTCCGTTCTCAAATAATTTCATCTGATTTGTACCAAGATTACAAACACAAGCCCTATCTTGATCGGAAAATTATTGATATTCAAACGTCTTGTAGTGTTCTATTTATTTTAAGTAAAATATTAATAATTTTAACAATGTTGATATTTAAGGTAACTGTTAAGAATTTTAGTTTTAATTTATGCCATATTTGCTTTTAGACAGATTATGTATATGTACATATTATATTGTTAATCTCAGTTAGTCTTGCCTAGATTGCACGAAGTTTATTTTTAAATGTTAATAAACGCTGGAACTGAAAACATCAGCATAATTTACATTTCCCATGCAATGATGTATATATACTGGACTTTGTTATAGGATTGAGATACATATCATATTTTATCTGTTAGATAATACCAGTACCTGTAAACTACCGTTAATTATTTTAATAACTTCAACCACCGCAGTAGCAATACCTCAACAAATAAAAATAAACAGCTATATCAAGTAATCAAAGTATTTCATTAAACTATTCCTATCTTATCTGTTAATTACATAAATCTCATCGTCCATAATCTATGTCTGAACTTAATGTTTGTAGCCGAATGACGTATGTTGAACATTTTTTATCTATATCAACTCTTCTAAAGGACATGGCCAACTTTTGTATGGGCGTTTGCATAGTTATTGAATTCAATGTACATCAATGATTTTTGGTGTTTACATTCGTGAATATTATTAAATTAAATTGCAAAAAATAAAACACATGAAGAACTCGTAATTATAACAAACAAGACGAAAATAGTTTCACTAAACCTTTAGTCAGATTACTGGCCATAAGTGCACGAAATAGGATTTTGCTTTTAAAAACCATGGCGTTTTAATTATTTATTTATTTATTTATAAAATAAAACAAAAGAATATGTATAAAGAATAATGATTTAGTTATTAAGGAGAACAAATAAAATAAAACTACGTAATAATTCACTTTTATATTTTTATTATACAGTGTATTTTATTATGTTTGTGTATGGATTGTACGTTTCTTTAATATATATTCTGTATAATCGGGTAATAATATGGTAGTACTTTCCATTTGAAGCGGCCTGCTTAAAACAGGTGGTAATGGTGGTGGCTCTGGTGGGCTAACCACTTGAATATAAGGGGCTGCTGCATTGTTGTCCGAACCCAATTCCTGCAAGTTTCGTGATGAGTCCTGCACTGTCTGTCTATTTGCCCGCATACAGCACACATGACAAACATAGTTGCTTCTTGAGGTCTGAAAATAAACCCCAGTTAGAATAAACACATGTTTTCAAGTTTTATGTTATTGTACAGTGAGAAGTATTATGTTACAACATGCCTATTTTAAAGAAGTCTATGCAAACATGGAAAATACATAAAGATAGATATTATAATCACACATACCTACTATGAGTACTTTTTTATAGATTAATATAGAGAAATACAAGTACATGGTATAAAACAATGAATAAAAAACAAAATGCTTACCACATTAATAGTATTTTGTGATTTTAGGCCAGCTAGCAATGGAGAGTCCATACTGACATTATGGTGTCTTATTTTTCGAACCGGTTTTCCACAACCAAGGCAAGCCATGTTATGCCCCAGTAGTCTCTCATGTTCACCAGCCTCAGTATTCAATAATAAGAAGCGTGGTTGACAAATGAATGTCCCCAGAGGCAACTAAAAAAAAGATGCACTATTTAAAATCGCATACCATGATAAAACATAAAAAACAGACTAAGTATTATATATTCCGACTTCATACCTGGGTTTGAGCTGATTAACCAACGTGAAAGTTTTGTTTGATGGAGTGCAGAAAGCGAGGATATAAGACGCATCTGCAACCTTTGTACGCCTATTCCGCAGTTGATGCACCTCATCGTAATCCACAAAACAAATCCAAAACGCAAAACAGTTACTCCAGTATTATTAGCAAGGTTAACAAAAACACGCTGTCAAAAGTGCCAAACACGTTCCGTTTCGTTTAAGTTAATTTTTTGGTGAATTGGATAAAAATAAAACATAATATTATCATACTATGAGTATATTTTAAAATGCAACTAAAACCAATGAATACAGTTTCGTATGAATAAAATGTTCCTAGTGTAATGCATTTGTCGATCGTATCACACGTTTTCTACGAGTGTAGTTTAAGACACGTGGTTTGGAATTGGAACGTCTTTTTATTTATCTTTCTCTATGGACTATTATGGCGAAACTTGACAAACGATAAGTTGATTTTGTTGCATTACTTTTACATTTTTTTAATAATAATTGTCAAGTCTGGAGAGGCTAAAAACTACGTAATAATTCATATTTCTATTTGTATTTTACAGTGTATTAATTTTGTTCGTGTACGTGGAATGTACTTTTTTGGCCATGTCCTTTGTTCGATACGAATAGAATTTTCTTGAATACAAATCCACGTGTTATTTATTCAGTAAAATTTATGTTAAAAAAATTGAGGATAATGTATGTAGACTTTTTTGACTCCGTTCTTTAAGACATTCAGTCGTCTTAATACTTAAACTCATTTCAATATCGCCCAAGTATATGCGTACCGACCTGACGACAAAAATATCATGGAGCATTGAATCCCCACAAGTGACAGAGATTCTAAACCTTAGGGTGGAAAAAATAACATCTAATTTTAATAACCATATTTTACCCGTATTTAAAATAAAATTATTTTACAACTATATTTATATATTCTTTGTGTGAAAGTACAAATAAATATTCATCGATCGTTAGAAACATTTTGTACAAGGATTATCTATAAATATTGCTATAATTTATAGATAGTCGTACATATACAAGTCCATGACATATTTGTATTGAAGGTCACATTACTGGATTTTTATAGATAAGTTCTGCGCGGGACTTAACATGACAGTAGAATTATAAATACGGATTAACATTCTTGAAACGGAGAGATGATTGAGCCTTTCGGAATTTTTGATTTTATTTTTAATCATATCTAAACAGTGACATGACATTTTGCCGCTTCTCTCGCGTATATGTGGCCATGTCAGCCAGGCGCTAGTCATTAACTTCCGCCCGCGTATAAAAATAATGGATCTAGTAATTTTAAAAACAGCAATGTATAAAGCTCGACTAAAATACGCAACACGGTAACACTCAGAAACATTGTAGCTATCTACTAGTAAAAGAATTTTGGAAATCCGACCAGCAGTTCCAAAGGTTAGAAACCCCCTACATACCCATAAACTTTCAAATTTTACCTCGGAGGAAGGTAAGGATATGATGACTTTTCTTCTTTAAAAAAAAGTGCCATCGTAAAATTTTTTTTTTTTTAGGGATATATAGAGACTCTCAAAAATCTGATCAATACTTGCAGAATCTGAATGCAATACACGGCCTGATAGAACACAAAAACACACACAGAAATAGGAAATTGAGACAAAGAGACAAACAGCATTTCAAGACCTAGAGAACGAAACTCACATTATTTTATTTATCCGTTGAGTGTTCTTTACATTTGAAATGGAACATTCTTGAAGAACACAAAGTTAAAGCAAATGTTTTTAATTAGGTACCTAATAATTGCTATGTACTGTTGGAAATGAAAAAGGAAGGACAAAAAGAAGGACAAAGTGAGTATAGTGGTAACTTTTTCATTGCCGATAATGTAGGTAATATGGTTAGTTAGCATCATGACTAACATGTGATATCTGGTACACTACACGTCTCATAGAATTAAGTAATGGCTATCTGAACATCATAAATTATATTTATTTCCAATGAACCAGCGATTGGTCGCCATCTCAACTTTGGGCATAAACAACCTATTCGCTTGGGTCGTGACGTGACTGACTCACCCAGGCCCTTTTACGATATAGCGTATCCCTCGATCATGACATTTATTATGGATTACTTAAAAACGAAACGGCTCTAGAAACGAGCATGAGAAGAAACAGGGTGTTTTAAATCAGTCATCTTAACTGCACTGTTGGCGCGATGGCTGGGTGACTGGCTGCCACGCAACGTGGCGCGGGTTCAACAACTCTTTGTGTGATCCACAAGTTGTTTCGGGTCTAGTTGTAATGTGTATGAGAAATTGAATGTTTGTAAACGCACCCACGACACAGGAGAAAATCCCAGCGTATTTAAAAAAAAATGAAGAGTTTGAAACTCACGCTCGCCCCCCCACAGGGCAGGAGAAGACACTGGATTATTTTCCGCCTCTACAAAAAAAGTACTACCTAGTAACAAAGGTACAAAATGTTCTTTTCTTTTCTTCCTTTTCCACAAATGAAGTCAAATGTTGAACTCGCCTGAAACAAAACAATGCAGATTAACGACATAGGGCTTCGTTATCGAGCCCGCAACCTGTCTACTTACCCTCCGCCCGCCCCAGCATACACCCTACATTTTATCATTACATCGTTATTTTACTCAGAAAGGACGTGTTTTTGTAATAACTTGAAAATCTTAGACATTTTAAAGGATTTTTCATATATTGGTAAGCTTTTCTATAATACTTCGCTATTTATTTATAATTCATTGCTTTTCACTGCATTGACGTGACTGTTAATATAATTAGCATACCAAGTCGGTTTTGTATGACGTGGCTTTTAATTGCTTTTTTGGTGAATGTTTTCATATATTATTACTTCCTAAAAAAGTTCTGGAGATTAACGATTCTATTTGAACATATTTTCGAGCTAGGTAGGTACATATTTAACATTTTAAAGTAAAGCTTGGGGCTTTACTTAGCTTGGGGTATTTCTTATTAACATGCCACGTTGTTCACATTCATCCTGTCTGGTCAGACAGATAGGCTACAGTAATACATAGATACTGCAGTCTCATAATTCATTGGCAAATCAATTATATATTATTTTGTTTTTTGAATACCTTTGAGCTAAGAGTTTCATACTTTATGTAACTAAATTACGAATCTCAATTCACAAAAATTTGTGATCCACAAATTGTTGTTTCGGGTCTGGGTGTCATGTGTATGTGACATTGTATGTTTGTAACCGCACCCACAACACAGGAGAAAATCCTAAAATGGGGCAACGTTCCTTTAAACAAAAAAAAAGCAAATATCGTGTCAAATAAACATCGTCCATATCATTAATACATCATCTCTAATCCAAAAATCAACAATTAAAAATGGAAAATCTTCTGTGTCTTCAGATTTAGAACCAACATGACAGAAGAACCAGAATACCAGTTGCGTCGACGAAAGGTGTCTGGGAACCCTAGTCTGCCTCTAAACCTGGATGTGGAGTACATCGTCAGCGAAGGTGATCCTGACCAGGGAACCCCATCACCTAGCAACATAAAGCGCTTGTCTCATCAGAAACAAAGGTCTTCGTCTTCCACACTTCTCGACTATAAGAATAAGCAGCAGTCTTTTGATATACAGGTCAGTGATTTTGATTACTGGTGATTTATTATTGCAGGACCCTATTCAATGTACGTCGCTTCCAAGAAGCCGAACTTCAAGTGGTCATCTACATCATAATACTTAATATGATTAATATGGATAACTATAATTTCAACATCCTGTAGGTACTGACCGTTGATTTGATATAAAGACAATATTAACAAACCCATCTGCTTTATCCAACTACATTTTGATCAAACCATAAATACCTAGCTACATGCAGAATGTTGATTACACATTACCTAAGTAAATAAGTACCTACATATAACGAAGTACAAAACTAATGTTGCGGGGCAAGCGCCAATATCAGCCGGGTAAGCGCAATTTTTTTTTTATGGTATAAGTCGGCAAACGAGCAGACGGATTACCTGATGGTAAGCAATCGGCGCCGCCCATGGACACCCGCAACACCAAAGGAGTTAAGTACGAGTGCGTTGCAGGCCTTTTGGGGATAGGGGTTACGAATATAAGGATCGGGAAGGGATGGGTGAAGGGAAGGGATTGGGCCTCCGGTAACCTCACTCAAACAGCGAAACACAACACTGTGGGTTGTTTCACGCCGGTTTTTTGTGAGGCCGTGGTATCACTCCGGTCGAGCCGACCCATTCGTGCCGTAGCTTGGCTCTCCCACACTTGAAATGAAGCAATGCGGCTTCGCACATCCGCCCAGACCAGGAGAAAGAACGAAGGGTTTTTAGTCAGTAAGAGATTGACGCTCCCACCCGCCCGACCATGTGCGGGATAAATCGTTTGATAGTTTTCCCTTCACAAAAGCAGCGGAATAAGGTACCGCAGCCTCGGCCTGGATCAGGAAATGAAACAGGGTGATTTTCAGCTAGTTAGAGTCTAATGTTGATTAACACTCCTAACAAAAACCCTACTTTTTTAGGCATACGAAGGTACAACCTTAAAAGTTTAAAGACTGTACACTTAAACTACGTGCCCTGCCTGTAAAATAAATTAAGATATTCTATTTTACTATTGTAGGTGGAGGAATGTGAAGAAGAAGAGATAATAATAGAGAGTGAAGATGATGATGAGGACAATGCTGAAGGGGGGCGCGATGACCGCTCCATCACGCCTACACCGATACAAGACTTTGGAGCGAATGTCGTCTATACGGAAGGTGAGCAAATCTATTCTTTTATACTTCGAACTTAAAGCTTATATTCATTTAATCTTCTGTGATAAATTGTAAGATTCAAGATATTCAAATATTTTTTTAGATATTCCTATATAATATTATAATTTCAAAATAATGTGACGTGACAAGACATACTACATACCTACATACCTACATAGGTTAGATATTTTTACATAGGTATCATTGGGTCACGCACGGGCCATAAGAATTTTTGGTCAGCTAGAAAAATCTTTGTTGAATAGAAAGAAGAAAGAAAGAAAGAAAAACCATTTATTAACGCAAAACGACAACACAAACATATAAACATTTAAATACGCTCCAGTTGGGTCACCCTGCGAAAAAGGGACAGCGCTCAGCATATTATATGCTGTGCCTCGCGCACGCAGGCACGAGACAACAGCGCATATTACGTGCTTCATTTTTTTCTTTAAACCTTATCAAGTTTCCTGTGAGGAAAGTAGCCCAATTTATATTAGGTACCATAAACTAATGATCTGCCCTAATCTCAGCGTCTTAGAAAGAATCATCGGAATGCCTATATTCTTAGAAAGAATATAGGCATCGTTTCAGGTTATGGCCTGGTCAGCTGAAGGTCACGTGTGATACCTAATTGAATTTGAATGTTACACAAGGCTAGGTTTAACTGTAATCCTATTACGTTGTCTTGTCATGAGTCATTATGATAAACTTAGTGGGTACGCTAGGTGACTAATGTCGATACAAATTTAATACATAGATAAACATTAATAACATCACGCTTCTCGTTGCTTTAGAAGATAGGCAGTGCTTTTTTGAGGGGGGTAATCATCAAACCTCTTCCATTCTAGGTGGGGCGAAAATATATGTCCCTCTTACTGACTTAAAACCATCCTTTCTCCAGTTTACAGGGCCGCGGTAGATCATTATTGTGTACCCACAACCTTTTAATTATTATTTTTTATGTGAAACGGTCGGCAAACGAGCAGACAGATTACCTTATGGTAAGCAATCAGCGCCGCTTATGGACACCCGCAACAACAGAGGAGTTACGAGTGCGTTGCTGACCTTTTGGGGGTTAAGGATTTGGGAGATTTAGAGATCGGGGAGGGATTTGAGCAGGGGAAGGATTGGGCCTCCGCCCTAAATATAATTATGTTTATTGTCCATGAGGTTTCAGTGTATGTGTCTGGATATGACTGTAACACTGTTCTTACATAATGGACCCCACTAAATGCGTTTCTTGTTCAGTTTTCTGCATAGACTACTGAACTACGCTTTGGAATGTGGCTGAACAAAATTATTTTCCTTATTAGGTATGCTGAAATACTTTAGCTTCTGATGTCAGGACACCAAAGCCCTGATCAAACAAACCATGTAAATAAGGCATCGGGCCATATAAATTGTCGGTTGCGGATGAAAGATAAATAATGTGCCGCAGCCTTAAGCCGGAGCAAGAGAACGAATAGGGTAGTTTTTAGTCAGTAAGAGTTACATTCCATCTCATACCACCCAAGTTGAGAAAAAGCCATAGATATATATAGGACAGCGCGAGAAACAAAAGATTCAAAAAGTACATATTTGTTTACAATTCCCTTTCCATTTTCCAGGTCCACAATCCTCGGACTTCCTGAGGGTTAAGACTTTGGAAGCAGACTGTTACACGGACGTGTCTGACGCAGACACCGACGAGGAAGACAATAACCAATGAACTATCAAACGTAACCATTACTTGTGGTCATCATATAATATTGATTGATATATAAATATAGTAAATGCTTTAATATTATTTATATGTGTGCTTATCTTTATATATATAATTCTGCTGTACGTGTGTATGTCATTGAACTCCTCCTAAACGGCCTGACCGCCTTGGATGGTTTAGACTTTAGATTCACAAATCAGCCCGGCAGATGGCGCTGATCGCTTGAAAAAACATGTGATCTCGGAAACGTCCCTAACGTATTCGCAGAAATTTGATATGTGTGGGGAGGGTCCGCTAGTTTTGGTATGAAACAAAACCCGTGTTGATATTTCAATGATTTTTATTGCACATTTAAAAACCATCTTGATTTTTTTGGATCTATACACACGATATAATTACACAATACAAATTAATTTATTACTATAACATAATGTTGCATTATCCGTGTCAATTGTATATGTACTTTCTATATTATAATTCTGTTAAATAAACTATTTTAGCATGTAAAAATCTTCATACTTAAACCTGCATTGACTTGTATAAATTAGGAATATATACACAAATCTGATCGAGTAGTATTAATTGTAAAACATGTACATTATTACAGAGAAAACTGGTTTAGAGATAGGGGGACTAGACAGACAGCTTCCTTGACTTCCCTAGCTGCTTTGTTCGAGTCAAAAATTAATTAAAAAACTGTGTTGAAAAGTCTAATTATCTTATACTAACTTTATGATAGGAAAATGTCTGTGTACTGAGAAATCGAACTCCGGCGGGACGGTTGAATCCCGTTTGTGTCCTCCCGCTAATAATTTTAATACTACGAAGTTTGTTTTTGCTACCTTCAGTAGGTCCTGTACCTGAAACAAGAAGAAGGATAAATTCAATGCAAATCAAATGTTTTAAAAAATAAACTTTTAACAGTTCCGGCACTGATCTGAAAATACATTTTTAAAGATTTTAATAGCAAAGCTTAGGAATAAAGGTCAGATTTTTAAAAATAAATAAAAAAAAAACCTTTTTTTATTTCTGCTTAGAAATTTAGTTGGAAGTATCCGCTTCACAAACATACATTGCAAGTTAAATATACAACTTGTAAAAACTATAGTAGACATATATCCGACCTGACTCCAAAGAGGTTAGATTTAATTTTTTTACAAGAACTTAATAGTTAATTTCAAGACCTTTCTTAATGATTTTGGATTTCGAAGGAAGATACCTATTACGTAATGTCTAGTCTCAATGTTTCCTTATTATAGACAGAACTCTCATACATTTTCTATTATGCTTAGGTGGAAATTCCCCTGCAAAAAAGGTTATTGCGATCGAACGCATATCTAGCGGAAATAGAATACAATCCGTTTGTGTAATGACACACGCTCACCAATATCAAAAATCGGTTCGTCATCCTAAATTGCAATAGGTACTATAAACTTCCATATAGATAACACTGATAATACAGTTAACTGATTATAAATAAAAAGGTAGGTACAAACTATTGAAATCTACACACCCACTTTTAATAATTTATTGATAATAACGACTAACGGAAATTAGCTCACCGTAGCCCTACTAATTTCAAGTTGCAACGAGATTCTATCGAACAAGTAAGAAACTCCATAATTACCTACTCTTTTTAAACAATAATATTTGTTTTACAATTTCATTAATACAATATCCTAATATTATAAATCCGAAAGTAACTCTGTCTGTCTGTTGGTCGGTCTGTCTTTTCTTCACGCCTAAACTAATGTACCGATTTCAGTGGAGTTTGGACTCGAGAAAGGACATAAGATAGTTTTTATACCAAAAATCTGTAGGAAGTCACTATTCCACGCGAACGGAGTCACGGGCAAAAGCTTATTTATTATACATTATTGTACCCATATGTGAGAATAATGCAAAGGTAAATTGTTAAAAAAGAACAAATGGTGGGATCATCAGGTTCAATGAAAACTTACTATAACCCTTTCGATCCTATTTGACACGGTACGGTACGATACGGTTATACGGCCGCTGTCGATGGTATTCGCTAACAAAACAAATTATTAGCACTGAGCTAGTTGTCAAATAATAAGTAGGTACATGCATATTTACCTCTTGATCTGGTGTTGTGATGGTTTCTAGTAAGGACCGCGCCTGCTGGAAGTGCTTACAGCCACCGAGATACAATATTACAGGGTTTTCGTATCTGTAATGGAAAATAAGAACAAAATTAGTACACCTTAATTTAATCTAATATATGTATATAGAAATGAATCAGAAAACATGTGTGTCGTGGTGGCTCAGACGTTAAGGCGCTTGCACTTCTAATGCATGAGGGTGCGGGTTCGAAACCTGGCAAGTAACAATGTAACTTTAAAGGATGAGGCTTCAGCAGTGGGCCGTTATAGGCTGATGATGTGTAATGTGGTGTGATGGTATTCAGATAAAACAGAACTCACTGAAGAGGCTGTGTCATTTCGCAGAACTCGTGGTAGTGAACTTGTGGAGGAGTGAGCACTGAGAGCGGAGCGAAGCGGTGCTTGTAGCGCACTGCCTCGTTGTCGAACTCCGACTGCGGCTGACGAATCTTGCCTTGTAGCTTGAATGCGACTAGAGCCTGCAAATATAGAAAAGGCCTTTGGTTATATATATGTGAAATTAACACGGTAGTTTTCAACAAGTCAAATTCAATACTTTTATTCAAATGTCTAAAACTATCCTTTTTTATGTACGAAAGACTGAGTTCATAGTATTTTTGAGTCAAAAAGCTTATTTTGCAAAATTTAGTGTATCGATAATCGATACATCGATAAATAGAAGTATAGTTATTTTTCAATATTTTATTGTATCGAAACGTCCAATTCATTTATTTTTGACCTGGGCAACTACCCAATACAGGTATATTAATTTACAATCTTAGTCTAGGTTTCATATTTAAACCTTCGACTGCCAACAGAAAACTAATTAAAAGTAGGATGAGGACAAGTATAAGTTATACTAAAGTTAGCGGAGGTCACCGGTGAGCAACGTAGTGGTTTTTGTGGAGGAAAAATTATCAAATGACTTCTCTCGCCAGGGTATGGCGAGAGGGAGTGACAGACTTACCGACTAAAACCCCCCGTTTTTTCTCCTGCTCTGCAACCCCGGATAAGCATTGGCCATGTTGGGCCCCAGATGTTAATTTCGGTCTCATAACAGAGGAATTACGAAAGCGTTGCCCGCCTGCTGGCAACTTACCTTATAATATCCCCCGCACAAGTTCTGCATGACGTTACAAAGGAGTCCCTCTCTAGCGTACGGTCGCACCCGCTTCTTGGTCTTCCTACGTCGCGAGTCACGACTGTCGCGCCGCCCTGAGTCGCCGGATAAGTTCTCCGCGCGACCCAGCGCTGATACCAACCATCCGTATAGAAACTCGTACAAATACCTGTTATTTTATATAAACAATTACTAAATTGCAAACTTAGAATAATAATACATAGCAACCGAGTACGCACATAAATAATATAAGAATAGGCTATTAATAAACTAGTGCGCCTTACCATCAATGATTGCATCACAGCTTACCATCAGGTGGGATCGCAGTCAAGCACTAGTATATATCAAGAAAAAAAAACATCTTCAAAGTGAAGCAACTTAAACCTAGCCATTCTGGCTAAGTTTCATACGCGGCCTGTCAATTCTCAAGGTCATGTCGTATTGAAAACTACTCCAGATATTTCTATTAATAAGGACGGATTGCGCAGAGCACATATGTCACAGTACATCAGAAAAGCACAAGAAACACAATATAATAGAAGCAACACAATATTTCACGGAAAAGTTATGAGTTTGAACTTGAATTTATACGTAAAATATTAATTAAAATGAGAGAAAATATGTATTTTCTTACGTGAAAGATCATGAAAAGGTTCACAGGGCAAAGGCAACCTTTTCATGATCTGTGCTCTGCGCAATCCGTCAAATTATGGGGAAAAATCGTCTACTACTCACCAGAATATATAATGGTACTCGTGTACGCTGTAGAGCTCTAGTTCGAGCCCGGACAGTAGGTATGCGATCATAACCCGCAGCACGTGGTAGAGGACCCACGTACCGAAGCACGCGCGCGGCCCGGTACCCGCCGCACCGCTCACTACCGCGTCCACACTCTCCGCCTGTATTATTATTTAAATACTTATACTATTTATATAAAAATGGATCGCAAAATGTGTTTGTGAGCGCATAACTCGACAACGCCTGGACCAATTTCTTGTTTGTTGTATTTCTTATAGTCAGTAGATGGTTCTTATGAATGAAAATATTATTACAGTACGGGAGAAAAAGAGAAAAAATTACCCTTTCATTGTTAGTTAGATAGTTGGACCCGTGGGAAGCTATTATAATAATACATTAAGGTCATGGTGGCCCGGAGGTTAAGGAGCCTGCTTCTCATGCATGCGGGTGTGGGTTCGAAACCTGGCAAGTACCATAGTGACTTTTTCCGAGTTATATGTACCTACTTTCTATGATTATTAAGACACCACTGACACACGGTAAAAGTAAACATCGTGAGAGAGCCTGGACTTATAATTTCTAATTATAAGTTTGAAATCGCCAACCCGCATTGAGCAAGCGTGGTGATTACTGCTCAAACCTTCTCCGTTTGAGAAGAGCTTTGCTCAGCAGTGGGCACTTATAGGCTGATGATGATGAATATATAAAAATAATATTACCTCTTCCTGTAGTGCAGCGAACTCGTCCAACAAGAGCGCGAGTTTGTCCCGCTGGCGCGCGCGGTTGTGTCCGCAGACTTGCAGTAACACCGCGAAAGGACGCACGCACCGAGCTAAAAAGTTCTCCACGAACTCGCGAGCCTATAACGTTAACAATAATATAAAACACTAGCAGACCGCCCCTGCTTCGCACAGGTATATGACTATCCCGGTGTCAGGCATTTGTTTTGCAAACGAACTTCTACGGTTCTGAAAGGGTTGTTGATACCCACTATACCCCTTTACTTTTCTAAAGTTTTCTTTCGTAAGAACCTAC